CCAAAACAAAGGGAACATTTGCGTACCAAACATTATGGAGAAATATATATATATCTCCTTCTCATTTGGGTGTATGGATATTGTCGATATCTTGCTCCAAACCTCTTTTGATAAACTGATGATTAATCTGGTTAAAGAAGAAAGTGTAAAGTCTAAGCATATGGCCCTACATTTCGGCAAAGACCATCTCGATTTGTTGTTGCAGAAACAAGTATACCCATGCGATTATTTTGACGGACCTCATAGGTCTCATGAAACATACCTTCCACCACAACAATTGTTCCATAGTAGTTTGTCTGGAGAAAGCATCACACAAGAGGCATACGACCACGATCAGTCTGTCTGGAACAGTTTTCAGATAATGAATTTCGGCAAATATTCTTACTTCTGCGTTCTATCAGATACATTGGGCTTAGCTGACGTCTTTCTCAATCCGTACGGTCTCGATTCAGCTCACGTTTACAAGTCTCCGGGCATAGTATGATGATAACCAATCAACATGCCGAGGCCAGCAACATGTATATCCCCGGGTACGACCCTAGCAAGGATAATGAGTGCATCACATATTTAGATGCAAATAATCTGTATGGCTTGGTTATGTCACAATCCATACCGACTCACGACTTTTGTTGGCTAAACGATATCGAAAGAAAAACAATTGACGTTGCGAAAGGTTCGGACGATTCGCCCGAGACGTTTTAGTCCCATATAGACTTCAACAAGGAGAGTAGAAAGATAACATAAAACTAGTTCGAAAAGGATTTCTACAAGTTGATGAACAACAGCGTCTTTGAAGAGACCATGGGGAACCTGATAAAGCCAGTGGGCGTAAAACTAGTAAATAGTGTAAAGCGAGCTCAGAAACTCAAACTGCAAACCATGATTCCGCACCTTTAATATATTATCAGACGACATCATGGCCATGCACACTTGATTATACTTGAATCGACCTATCTACGTAGTCTTTGTCATCCTAGACATCTTGAAAACCTTGATGTATGATTTCCACTACAACTACGTCAAGGGAAAGTATGGAGAAAAAGCAACTCTTCTGTTCACTGACACCGATATTTTGACAGAAGACGTCTACGAGGACATGCTACAGGACCACCACCTAATAATATGACAAAAACATCATACATACAGTGTTGCTAAACAGAAAGTCTTGGGAAAGATGAAAGACGAAACATTTGGAAACGCGGTCCATGTCTTCATAAAATTAAAAATTAAAATGTATGCCTACGTCTACGACATAACATCTACGAAAGAGATAGACGGGGAGGTACACGAAATCACAACACACGTCGAGACTAAAAGAGCCAAAAGCATCAAGATAAACGTCAGTAAGAAACATGCTCGGTTCGTAGAATACAAGCAGTGTTCCTTTGACCGGAAAGTACACAAATCAAACATGACGCAGATCCAGATTTACAACCACAATGTGGGCAACGTCAACATTTACAAAATTTGGCTGTCACCCTTCGGGATACCGTCGCAGTTAGATCAGGATTTGTACATTAACCCCTGCAATAGAAACCTTGTCATAATTGACGACATCATCATCGAATCCAAGTTATTTGTGGAGGGAAGCCATCATAGTAACTTCGTTTTCGCCATCACATAAAATCTGTATTATAACAAAGATCCTACACAGAGGAGGAATTGCCACTACCTGGTATTGTTCAATAACCCTATCGACAAACAGGAAGTCATGACTCTGGGCAGGCAGATGTACCCAGAAAATGTCCAACATTTAATGAGACACTTCAAAGAAGCTACCAGTCAACTGAACGGATATCTCCTCGTCGATTTGAAGCAGTCGACACCATAATCAGCACGCATGTGCAGTGAAGTATTCAAGAACCAGCCTATAAAAGGTGCGGATATGGGATTGGAAAGTTGTTTCACACCCAGCACTCCGACAGGACATACGCTTTCTACGAATCTGTCAGTGATTGAATAACCAAGAACAAACATAGCCAGAAAACATTCTTTGTAACGTTTTCGACAGGAGGACGTAGTGAAAGAAATGCCTTCATGTGGCGACTGTGGTCTGATGTTTGACAATTGGCTCGATCCGCAGAAGCATTTAACACGATGATATCCGGATAATATTACCCGTAAAAGAAAACTAGACTAGGAAGAAGTCCCAAGTCCGGCAAGGAGACAGAGGTCGGATATTTTCGATGGCCCCGATATCTCAGACACTGAGAAGGATTCAGAAGAGGGGGAATACTTCAACGAGATACGCAAAAGAGCAAAGGCCAACAACACGAAAATGGTGTGAGAAGGTAGAAAGAATATGAGGAGAATGTACACTGAAAGAAAGCCGCTGTAAGTAAGGCTGATAACAAAATGCAAGAAGAAGATATGATGGAGTGTCTCAATTTATATGGGAGAACAGTCAACACTATTTTACAGCTAAGAGATGGTGAAATAGACACAGAAAACATGCAGCATGTGGAGAGGTACATGCGAAGCGATTACAAAACCCTTCCTGTCATACGCATGTTTCTAAGGAAATACAGACACCAGGTGCAAGAACATTTGTATGATGATGATGATGATGATGATGATGATGATGATGATAAACCCGCAGATGAGGACAATGAATTTGAAGAGGAGGACAGTGCCTCCGGTGACGACGTGTGATGTTTTTCCCGACCCGACAATCTGTATAGATTCGTATGAAAGGCCGGGAAATAGTCATCAGCAAATATAGGACAAGGAAATGGTTACAACACATGAAGCATACAGAACGGAACAGTCGTTATTGGGATTGATGACCAATGGTGTGCCGATCTTATGGATATGGTACAAATTTTGAATGACAATGAGGGATATTCCTGTGTTCTTGTGCATGGTCATCTATGTGTTCTCCTAGATCTTGTGGACAATGGTTAAGATAGCGGTGTCTCTTGCCAGCGCCGTTCGTGACATGCATAAGGAGGGGAGACAACCGAGAAGGATTTGTACCGACAAAGGGCAATACTGTTAGGCCAGAGGGGTTCAGGTGATCCTCCGACAGCATGACATCAGACACCTGTTTGTAGAGACCGAGTTCAAAACAGCAGTCACTGAAAGGGTATTGAAAACAATCAATACTCGCATGTATAGGTATTTCACACACAGAAGAAACTATGAATGTTTGGAAGAACTCAAATTGTTTGCCGATAGTAACAACAATACCTACCATAGCACTAACGGCATGGCTCCATCAAAGGTCTTTAAGGCAACGACACCTCTGTCTGGTGGAGAATTTACGAATTTAAGATGTTTGTCTACATACGACGAAGGTTGTGAGAAATTCGTTTAGGTTCATGATTGACAGATTGACACATCTCCGTAACCCATTTAGCCGTGAATACGACGAGATGTGGACGGGTGAAATATCTGCCGTGGCAGAAAGGATATTGCGAAGTGGACTACCCGTATATAGGGTTAAAGACTATGACACATGGTGCGCACAGCTGTGCGATTAAACAATCGTTCGTCCCGTTGTGCGCTTCTTTCCGAACACATGTGAGATTTGGTACAATTGGTTGAACAACATTACGGAAGGAAGAAAATTCGGAACTCTCGTATAGAATAAGAAACACTATATATATATGTATATATATATATAGTTCTCATCAAATTAATTAGGATTATGTTAAATTGTACAATACATGTTACATGTACACAGCATAACAGTGACCGTTATACTGTCAATAATGGGTTTATCTCCCAGGTAACAGAACAGGCAAATAACATTTTGATTATTGACAGGAGTTTTACCTAGCATGTGTCTAACAAAGACAGCTGATATGTGATACCGTATGACAGTTATGAAAACACAACTGGACGTTAAGTATTTGGTATTTGCATTCGGTTTGGTCTATAGCTCCTCTTTATCTGGTTTTCACACTTTCGCAAGTTACGTAAATGCCCCGGGTTGAGAAAACTAAAGTACAGGTACAAAGTGGCTATATTTTCCTGGATACGTGACCATGTCGATATGTTTTATTTTAAATATGTCGATTTGTAATCTATTTGATGCCTCTTATAATGCAAAACGAGAAACTGCCATAAGATAATGTGACGCATACTGTTCAACCCAAATGAAAGCATATGGCATTCACAGACCCGATAGGGAACGCATATGGCATTCACAGACCCGATACAGAGAATTGCTAGAACATGCATACCCCTTAATATACTGTATATAGATATGAACCTGGGCTTGATATGTGTCATCGTATTATCATCTCAGGGTTTTTAATTACACAAATGTATACAAAACAATATCTGAGTCTTGTTAACAAGGACAAGAACCTTGTTAAAACAAGTACATTGTAAATATTTTTGTTTTTATTTGAATACAAATGTTTAACACACACCTGATATACTGACTACAGAAGTCGGTCGTTTTACTGTACGGTACATACACGTTGTACTGACTACTGAGGTCGGTAGTCTTTCTGTATAAACACATTGTACTGAAATTTGAAATGAAATTAACATGCTCGTGTATACAATACTTTGCTCAATTTCTTTATAACATATTCTGTCTGTACGGTGTTTTCACATTGTGCTGACAACACGTACCAAATTTCTACGGAATCAATATATTTTAAAAAACTCGGATTTCATATCTCTCCTATGGATGCAACACAAAATATAGTCCAATTGTTTTACAATTGTATTTATTGTGTTGTAAAGCTATATGTTCGTTGACTTTTTGAGGAACTGATTCCTGTAGTGTTTACCCGAGCTCTTAATTGTATGACGTAGTTCTCTGACGTGTGTCTAGTTCATGGACATATGTTTGACATTCTGTGAATAATGACCACACAGGTAGATGTTACCTTCCCTGTCCACGTCTACTTTCATAGCTCTCCTTGTTATTACTTACTCGGTTTTATCAAACATTTATCTATATATGTGAATGTGTTTTAGTCGTTCTCATGCTATGTCGATAACACCACACGAAAATAAAGATACAATCAGGTGGTGTTTATTCATTCATTTTATAAATCACGTATAACTATCAATACACTAAACATACTATTTATATGTATATATAATATGTAATAAAGATAAAACAATCAATGTATTTCAAATATATGATTGTATTTGTTTAGCTTTGTTATAAAGCTATAGATTTTACACAATCACACTAAAACATTGCTAAACATTTTGAGAAACTGAATTCTTTTGTGTTACCACCAGCTCTTTAAAGTCTGAAGTACAATTTATATAAATATATGCACGGTGTGTATTCTGTCGTTACGATATACGCCTACATTCTAAGTGTTCAGCACACATTGATTTTCCTTTATTTTAATTAGTACAGCTGAAAGACACGGATAACGTTCCTCTCGTCAGTAGTACTAATTACCACAAATATGTCACCCCAAACATATATAGCATATATTTCAAATACACATTTGTTTTCAATTTTACTTCATTTAGCACATTTGAAAAACACGGATATAATTCATTTCGTCTCGTCAGGGATTAGCCATTCCATTTGATGACGTCAGCAGTTATCTGACGTGTGTTCCGTTCATAGACATTTGTTTTACGCTGTGTGAATAATGATCACACACATAGATGTTACCTTCCCTGTCCACGTCTATTTCCATAGCTCTTCTTGTTATTACTTACGTGGTTGTATCAAACATTTATCTAAATATGATTTTATAATCGTTCTCACGCTATGTCGATAACACGCATATCTATTGGTTTTATAATTCACATGGAAACAAAGATATAATCAGGTGGTGTATATTTACTCATTTTATAAAGCACGTGTACTAATTATCAATACACTTAACATACTTTGTACAAATGATAAGTAATACAGATAAAACAATGTAATTTAAGTATCTGATTGGATTCGATTTGCTTTGTTGTAAATCTATAGGTTTAACACAATTACACTAAAACGTCCTAAACAATTTGAGCAACTGATTTCTTTTGTGTTTACACCAGCTCCTAATTGTCTGAGGTAAAATTTATATAAATCTATGAACGGTGTGTATTCAGTCGTTACGATGTGCACCTACATTCTTAGTGTTCAGCACACATTGATTTTCGTTTATCTTAATTAGTACAGCTGAAAGACACGGATAAAGTTATCGCCTGTAGTACCAGTATTAGTTACCACAAATGTGTCACCACAAACAGATATTGCATGTGTAGAGTCAAATCCATCTGATGACGTCATAAGTTTCCTGACGTGTGTTCCGTCCCAAGACATCTGTACGATGTTGTATGGTTTCCCACTACATACGTATATGTTACCCTCCCTGTCCACGTCTATTCCCCTTGCATCCTTCACGACACCGACCTTCATCACATCCGTATGACGTTTGTCAGCCGACAACCTAGATACCGCGACGACCCCCGGGGTGTTGTTACTCACACTGACGAGTGTGTCACCCTTTATTGGATCATGTGTTAAAGAACAACAGAAGTTATTATAATTATATAACAACTTAGCTGCTCCGTCCTGTGTCACACTGTATACTTCCCGACCTGTGCTCACGACAAACTTCCCGTCTATATGTGTTATACCATAACAGGGTTTACCATTTGACATGTTGATCTCATATGTCAGGAAGAGTTTTGAGGCTTCGACCTTTACGACACATATACCACCAGGAATGGTGACAGCGACCGCTACCGTGTTGGTGTCCACCCGACACATATCCCAGGGATTTCCACGAACGGTCAACTCGTGCAGGTACTGTCCTTTATCTGTAAACAACTCTAGCTTTTGCTTGCTGTAATCACTTACTACTATTTGGGCACATGACAAGTACGCAACACCATATGAACAGGAATCCTTTTTATCTGACGGGGTCTTGATGCTGAACTTTCCGATTTCTTTCACACGTCGTACTGACATTGATTTTCCTAAATCGCTATGGCCCCCAGGGATGCATCGTGGTTGTATCTTGACGACGATCTTTCCCATCAAGTCATCGCTAATGGTATCATGTCCGGGAACAATTTGATGCTCGATACTGACGGATGTAAATGACTTGCTCATCTCCGTGACAAGGGTCTTACACGACTCCACTTCTGCCTGTCCTCTCTGATAAAACACTATCGTCTCAATGTTGTCGTTTTCCTCTACGGCTTTAATGGATGACTTCAAGGTATTTTTCATTCCGTTCATCAGACGTTCGCACTGCCGTAATGATTCCTCCATGTCTCTTTTCTCATTCTTGAACAATTTGATTAACTCGTCGGTGATGTCTTTCTGAAGTTTGTCCAGTCGTTTATCGACATTTTGACGCAGGTCGGAGATGCTCTGAAGTACCATTTCCTGGTTCTGTATCATGGTTTGGAGCTGTTCATCAAAGTCCTTTACTAATGCGTTCATACTCTCTTTTCCTTTCTTCAACGCCGCCTGCATGTCTTCTAGCTGCGATCCTGCTTTTACCTTCTGACAATATTCCGTCACCTTTGGCACTTGTTCACATCTCCTATGGTCTTCGATCACGCATTCGTTACAGCACAGAAGTTGGTGGTCCTCACAATACCGAACCATTCTTTCGCCGTGTTGATAACAACGAGGGGCATACGTTTCCTTATTCGGTCGTTTGCTTTGGTTTCCAGTGACATTCAGTATACCACAGTCTTTATGTAAGATATCGTGATGTTGTATCTTACAAGTCTCACAAAAGCTGATGTTCATCGCTTTGCACCAAAATTTTGCTGGGCTGGTTATATTTCCTCTTGTCTGGCATGGTTTGCCATGTAATGGTTCGGACGAACGTTCCCTAAGTTGGATAAGATCCTGGATCACAGTATTAGTCGGAAATTGTCCTGCCCATTTATCCTTGGTTTCAGCCTGATTGACCGGATGGGTCATCCTCCTACAAACTGGACAAGGGAATGTTGTTGCCGACGCCATCTTCCCGGACACCTCCTTGGTGATATAAGTCCCGAGACAATCCTGACAGAAGGAGTGGAGACAGGATAAGGACTTGGGTTGCTGAAGTCGCTCCAGGCAAATTGGACATTCCAGTAGGTGTAAGTCCAGTTCCGAAGGAAGACCTCCTTCCGCCATTGTAAGAGTCAGACAGGGTCAACAAAGACCTGAAATAGAAAAATGACAGTGGTAATAATTTAATACCGATAAGAAAGACGGCTACAGAAGCCGATAGGTAACACCTGGAATATTATTTACGTGATTATCTAATAAATGCCGGTACAATTTAATAATAATTAAATATTATCCAAGTAATTTAATTGCGGTTTAGTAATGTTTCCTACTTTTATCTAATAATTAATTCTGATTTTAAACAGACTGTCTATGGACGAAATTGTTTCTAATATGTTATATGGTGCGCAATGACTAGCGTTTATATAGTACAAGTGATACCATTTGTTATAGTTTTCTGAAAGGTTCCAGGCAGATTTTGATAAATAATTGTAATGCTGTAAGTTTATAAATCTTTATCACGAAGTGATATTTCCCGTATTGCCGATATATAAAGCATTTTTTGTGTAGCGTATAATTCATTTAGTGGCATTGTTTACATTCATATCGACCGTCGATGATAACACTGTGTGAACTCGAACTTGAATGTATATTTATGTCTGTGTATATATATAAGTGACATATAATCAGAGACGTACATTTGCTTTATACTACATAAGCATTTTAATCACCTCACATTTAAACAAATATGTTGAAACCTATATCCTGAAATCTTAAGTGTTGATAGGACACTAAACCATGTACAACCAACCATTGTTGATAACTGATACTATGCTAGTGTTGAAGTCCTTTGACGTAGCAGGGAATGTCATTCTTATGTATCCATGTCGTTAACATATTGTATACACGGATGCACATGAGAGCTTTCACTGTATACTCATATAATGGTATGCACATTTTCTTACATGCGTACGTTCTTACATGTAACGATGTAGCTATTTGATATCAACACAAACAATATCTGCTACAAAGGAATTTAGAAGTTTCGGTTTGTATAGCACAGCAAAGGTTTAGATATATCTGCATACACAGATTATCATATATTGTTTGTAAATTAATCATAACAAGTTAGGGTACAATATCACCATGTACAATATACTCACCCAGGGGATACTTATTTACACGGAAGACACACACTCCCCTTCTAATAACACCATGCATTACTTACACCTTGGATCCGTCTATCGAGACAAGGAAGTAAGTAGTATAAATATCGAATGGGAAAGGCGGAATCAAAATTCCGGATACTGCACGCTTCGTATTACTAAACGTTGTTTTGAACAACATTATGTATATTATTATTCACGATGTGTGATGTGCTGTTTTTTTTATATGAAATAAGAGTTGTGTTGTTGTTTGTGTAATTAACGTTGAGTAAGAAACATATAGTTATATAGTATATTAAAGACTTGCTTTAGTTATTTTCTTTAGATTGGGAAGTATAATAAATTTTGATTGGTCAATCGTAGTATAACAGAAGACATTTTACTGGAAAAGGATAATGTGCTTTGGTTAGATGGATATGGGTATAAATATAGGTTCCATCACAGGAAAAGCTATCATCAATGTGATTATTTCCTAAGAAAATTAGGCGTGATAAGGCCACCAAGAGGTTAGAGTATGGTTTATTTCGGCAGGTAGAATAAGGCTCTCTTAGACGGACTTAAATAAGTACCGACTTTACAGATTCATTATCTTAGCCTGGGGCTGGTGTGATTGGTGGCGACTTTATCTTCCTCTTCCGTCGACTTGGGGAGTGGTGTTATTATAAATTAGTACATGCATAATAGACGGCTCCTTCTCACCTCTATAACCCCTCTCAGTCCCTTCATCGCATACTTAATCCCTCCTACTCATTTTCCTGTTTTTGTTTTGTTTATTGGATTAACCGAACTAATCGGTAGTGAATTGACCTCTCAAAAACAAACAAGGAGGAAACGCGTTCTCTTTCTCTTGCAGTCATAGTGAGAGGGACACTACTAAACGGAAGTAACGGTAAACAGGCTAGGTAGGGTTATATGTTGTCGTGTGTAGTTAATAGTCAAATATAATAACAAAATGTATATCAATTGATACAATGTAGTGCACATAGTCGCACGGTATCGTAGTGCAATGCGAATACAGGAAATCATAGCACAGGCCGACGCACTGGGTATCATAAAACATAGCGACATACTGGGTTCCACAGTATAGGATGTTGTACTGGGTATCACGTTACATGACGACGTGCTGGGTATCACATTACACGGGAGGTACTGGGTATCACAGTACGATGCACTTCGAATCACAGTACATGGCGACGTACCGACAATCAAAGTACAGGGTGACGTACTTGGCATCACAGTACCGGACGACAAACAGGTCGACGTACTGAGTATCACGGTACAGGGCGACATACTGGGTATCACAGTAGAGGGCGAAGTACTGCGATTCACACTAAAGGGGGACGTTCTGGATATCAGGTTACAGGGTGACGTACTGAGAATTACAGTACATGGCGACGTACTAAGTAACACAGTACTGGGTGATGTATTGGGTGTTACAGTACAGAACGGCGTACTGGGTAAATCATAGTACAGGGCGAGATACTGGGTATCACAGTAGGGGGCGCCGCATTGGGAATCACAATACAGAGTGACGTTATAAGTACCACAGTACAAGTCGAGGTAATGGATAGCACGGTACAGGGCGACGTACTGGCTATCACGTTTAAGGCAGACGTACTTGGAATAATAGTACAGGGCGACGTACTGGGTATCAAGTTACAGGGGGGCGTACTGGGAAATACAGTACAGGACGACGTGATGGGTAACACAGTTCATGGTGACGTTCTGGAGATCACAGTACAGGGTGACGTTCTGTGTATCACAGTACAGAGTGACGTCTTGGGCATCACAGAATAGGGAGTCGACCTGGGTATCACATTACTTGGGACGTACTAGGTATCACGTTACAGGGCGACGTGCTGGGGAACACAGTTCGTGGTGACGAACTGGGTATCACATTATAGGGCGACGTACTGTTGATAAATACAGAGTGACAGATACCAAAACACATATTTTACCAAGACCTTAGGGGTTACCAAGCCATACATGTAGGTACCTTATTGTGTTGAGTTACTTGGACAAAATGAAGTCGTAGTAAAGGTTAACATATTCAATATGTGACGTCGAGGTGTGTCGCGGTAACGGGTGGCATTGCCAGGGTGTGGTGCAGATATGATGCCGTTGTGAAGGTGTGGCGCGGAAAAGGGCGACGTTGTGAAAGGTTGTCGCGTTAAAGGATGACGTTGTCAAGGTGTGTCGCAGGCAAGGGTGACGTTGTCAATGCATATGGCAATACATGGTGACGTGGCAAGGTGTGTTGCGGTAAAGGGCAATATTGTCAAGGTGTGTCACAGATAAGTGTGACGTTGCCAAATTGTGTCACGGTAACATATGACATTGTCAAGATGTGACGCGTTAAAGGGTATCATTGACAAGGCATATCGCGGTAAAGGGTGACGTTGTGAAAGTATGGTGCGGGAAGTGATGACGTTATGAAGGTGTGTCACGGTAAAGGGTGACGTTGTCAAGGTATGTTACGGTAAAGGGCGACGTTGTCAAGGTGTGACGCGTTAAAGGGTACCGTTGTCAAGGTGTATCGGTGTTGAGGGTGACGTTGTGAAGGTGTGACAGGGTAAAGTGTGGCGTTGTGAAGGTGAGACACTTGAAAGGGTGACGTTGTCAATGCGTGTCGCCGTAAAGGGTGACTTTGTCAAGGTATGACGCGGTAAAGAGTGACGTTGTTGAGGTGTGTCGGGGTTGAGTGTGACGTTGCCAATGTGTGTCGCATTAAAGGGTACCGTTGTCAAGGTGTGTCGGGGTTGAGTGTGACGTTGCCAATGTGGTTCGCGGTAAAGTGTGACGTTGCCAAGGTGTGACGCGGTAAAGGGTGCCGTTGTCAAGGTGTGTCGGGGTTAAGGGTGACGTTGATAAGGTCTGTCGCGGTAGAGGAGATATGTGCTTCTGACAAAGGAGGACGGATACATATTGATGTCAAGTTTGTAAGGATATTTTTTTGACTATGTAAGTGTTAGTGTTAAGGTAAGAATTAAAAGCTGTCTGATGTGTTTAGTTAAGACAGGATTCTTCTTTACTTATAAGGCAATATTAAGTGACTCAAATAGACGTCCAGCGTTTTGTATATGTTATCGGCATTATTTGTTATAACAGTTATTGGGTCCTAGATAAAACTTGGTAACGAACTGTAGGCACGCATCCGTTCCACTTACGTTTTAAATTCGTTATTTGGAAAAATATGTAACACCCGTAAATCACTTAGTTTTATATTCAATGAGTTTGATTTAAAATATCATCTATGCAATGATGGTCAAGATTATTTCCTATTAACATTTACATAAATCGTCATCAATCTCCACTACCTGAGTGCATTTTTTTTTATTTCCCAAACCTCCTCAGTATTTATCGATCAAATGTTTTCCAGTTCATGATGACGTCACTCCTTGCTTTGTCGTTTTGTTTCCTCGTCTTTCATTTGTACAGGTATGATACAGCACGTGCCTTTTATAAACGACAATGTTTATTTGATAAGTAGCGCTAACACATTTTTCTGTTTTGTAATAAGTGCGTTAATTTCTCATTTAAAAAAGAGGAAAAGAAATGACTAGAATTGTTTCATAACACTTTGTCTTTATCCCTATAGACGGACAGTTTTAAATATGTTAAATTAAAGTTATACAAAAAATTATCACAATTCATTATATGTCTTAATCCATATATACATGTATGTTTTATACACACATTTCTGTTATTTACAGATGAGTACTATGGTATATGCATCGTACCATACGGGGTAAACAAAAAAGGACAAAATATCAAACAAATAGATAGATAAACAAACACAAAATAAAATAAATAATCAAAATATCAGAAAAAGAACAAAAACAAAAGCAATGAAAAATAGATAATTGATAATAATAATAATAGAACCATGCAAGTATTAAGAAAATGTATATCGAGTAAAAATGAATTCTGATTAATTTGTAAACAGTGGTAAAAACATGATTGTATAGCAGACATGTACTTTGGCTACAATGTTATTAACATCCTACTGTTAAAGGTCACATTGTATTTTATGTCTAGATATATATATGAATATTTATAGACACGAATCCACTATCGTTATAACAACATGTATAACGTTGATGTATGTTAAGCTTCCTCATTTAGAGCGTAATTGATTAATATTTAATGGGCGTGGCATGTTCGTACGCCAAAGACAATATTGCTTAATAGGAACTTCCGTAATTTTTAGAGACTGGACCAGTTCAATATTTATTATTTGTCGGAGCATTAAAAAGACACATTGTACCATATGATAACGTTCGTGTGCATTGCATAATGACGTTTTGATGTACTGTATGACAACGTTTGTGTGAACTGGTTGATTACGTTTTTGTGCACTGGTTATTAATGTTTGTGCTGACTGATTGGTGACGTCTGTGTGCACTGATTGATGATATTTTATTTACAATATCAGTTTAATGTTAATTTACATATGATGAAATCGTTTTAATGCTCGTCATATTTACTATTTTTTTTTTTGTATTAGCGTTTATTCCAATACCATTATTAACCACCGACTTTACACCGATTCCGGTGGTAGCCTGTATCTGAATATATTTTTCATTGTTGTCAAACTAAGTCGACCATACGGATTTTAAATATAATAAAGTTATAGGAAAACTGACAATGCTTTTATTATGACACCCTTTAATTTCCATATAATTGGAGTCATATCTCTAGCCCATTTACCTGATCTACACATCCTTTTCAAACATGCGTGCGGTTGTGTTGTATTCAATGCTCTGATAACTACCCAATAAAAACGTGTTTGCCTTTGTAAATCTTACACCACTATACAATTGTAAAGCCACTCCAAAATGCGTAGATAATCCATAATTTATTGTCAACACGCTGATGATTCATTAACTTTCTGTGTCAAAACAACCGCTAATGCATAACATGATATTAGGACAGCATCTCATGTAAACGTTACATAACGAAATCATGTCTTGAAGTTAACAACATATGATACGCTCGGGTTAGGTGGTGAACATTTATCTCACATAACAGAATGCATTTTGCATCATCATTTCGTTCATGTGACGTTTGTACGTATATAAAGACAATTTAGAAAAAAGACGATTAAAATCAGCAACGTACTTAAAATACCTGTTATTTTTGCTTTCTTTACCTAAGTCGAGGTGACAAAGCCGTCAAACATGATGGACAACCATAAGGATTGTCCTACATTACTATGACAAACTTAGGGATATATCCCACATAACCGTGACATACTTAATGATGTATCCTTCATTACTGTGACAAACTTAAGGATACACCTAAAGATTTATCATATATTACTTTGACAAAACTAAGGATGCATCCTACATTACTGTAACAAACATAATGGTATATATCCTAAATTACTGTAACAAACTCAAGGATGTGTTATCCATTACTATTACAAAGTTATGGATATATCATACATTAGTGTGACAAACTTGAGGATATAATTTCCGTTGCTGTGACAAACTTAAGGATATATCCTACATTACCGTGACAAACTTAAGGATAAATCCTACATTACTGACAAACGTAAGGATATATCCTACATTAATATGACACACTTAAGTATATATTCTATATAACTGTGACACACTTAAGTATATATCCTACATGACTGTGACAAATTTAAGGATATATTCTGTATTACTGTGACAAACTTAATGATATATTCTGTATTACTGTGACCAAATTAAGGATATATTCTATATTACTGTGACAAACTAAAGGGTATTTGCTACAAAGCTGTGCAGTGGTTATCTCCTGTCCGAAAGAGTTGCATGTTATTACAGAGCAAATAATAATTTCATTACACTTATGATTTTTTTAGTGTAATACCATTTTTTCGGAGGATTGAAAGAAACAATGACCCAATACACGATACAACTCATTAATTATGTATTTAAATACAAACGCAAACCGAATATTTTTTTCAACTATGGTTTATTTTCATCTTCAATGAAATGTAGTAATGTTCCTAGCGAGGGGTGCGTGTAAGTTTCACCTGTATACGAGCTTTGTAGTATTACCTCGGAAAATAATGTGTTACATCGGGAGGTGTTACCTGAAAGGGGAAATGTAAAGGTAATTTCGAAGGGAGGAAGAGTAATAAGGATGTGTACATGCATCATCACATCATCATTGCAACACTACACATCACCCATAAACAATATGCATCATCATCATCATCATCGTCATCATTATGAAAATATAGCTACCAATGCATCAATACATATCTCACATAATAAACATCATCGTCATCATCATCATCATCATCATCATCATCATCCTCATCATCATCACATCATCATCATCATCATCATCATCATCATCATCATCATCATCACCAGTATCTCAATACATTTCACACAATATACACTCATCATCATCATCAGCAGCAGCAGCAGCAGCATCAGCAGCAGCAGCAGCATCATCATCATCAGCATCATCATCATCATCATCATCATCATCATCTTCTTCTTCTTCATTGCATTAATACTTCTCACACATTAACAATCATCTACCCTCATCATCATCTTCTTGAACATATAATTACAAATGCATCAATGCATATCTAACACAATAAACATCATCATCATTGCCTCAATATGCTTCACATAATAAAGAATTATCAGTATCATCATCATCATTGCATTACTATCTCTCACACATTAACAATCATTAACCCTCATCATCATCATCGTCATCATTATGAAATTATAACTACCAATGCATCAATACAACTCTCACACAATAAACAATCATCATCATTACCAGTACATCAATACGTTTCACACAATAGACAATCGTCTTCCTCATCATCATCTTCATCATCTTCAACAAGTAACCACTCATTCATACTGCTATGCAATTATGTATATATAATTACCTAAATTTCATTTCAAGATTAAGCACATCCATAATGTCAATATTTGTCACTCATATCAAAAGAGAAAACACACACACACACACACACAAACAAACACACACATCGTAAATACATGTACACATATGTTTACGACCATTTGCAGAAAAAAGAAGGAAAAACAGGCAAATAGAGCAGTGTAAGAAAGAGAGAGAGAGAGAGAGAGAGAGAGGGGGGGGGGAGAGACAAGATCAGAGAGGCACGGTTTCATGATATATAAATAAAAAAACTGAGTGGAACAGTGAGCTAATCGGGCGAAACCAGGGTAAAAATGGTCATGAATAAGTGTTCAAAGTTGATAACTGGAACCGAAATTATAAATTAGTGATGTTTATATAATGGTTATTAATAGTGATAACATTGGAAATAACTATCACTATAGTTCTAAAAGAGGTTTCCATTTTCTCCAACCTTTTTCAAACCGCTCTTTAAAATTCTCACTTTTACTGTTATTTACAAGAATTTGAACCAGGAAGTGATCTTTGATAACATTGATGAGTGCATTGAGATTTAGGGAGTTGCTGAGATATCTAGTTTTGTAGATATACTGTTTAATGATAATTATAATTTCATTATCCACATGATTATAGTATTGTGTTATTATTCCAAAAAGAAAGGAGTCCTTGTTATAAGCAAAAGGAATTTGTAAGAAGTCAAGCAGAGTCTCAACTCTCGGAAGTAAATTTTGCACCTCTTGACACTCCCATAAACAATGAACTATTGTTTCATGTTCCGTGTTACATAAAGTACATGAAAGGCTAGCAGTTAGGTTTATTTTATAAATGAAAGTATTTGTCTACAGTTTCTTAATCTAAGATACATTCGACTTACTCAAGTCAACAGACAAGAAAGTAGTTATAAAGACTGTAACCAAGGAACCAGGTACAGAGTGAACAAACGAGAACTGGTATGGTCATTGAGTGACACCCGACTCATTTCAAAACTAGTCGTCTTGCGTGTCCGTGTGTTCCTGTATTCAGTGATGTATCGAAACGACAAGGAATACACCTAGCTGTGTACTCATACGATTTGTATACGCCTGTTGTGGAAACATCCGTCATGGATGACTGGTGATACAAAACATGTAATCGTTACATTGTACCTGGTATTTACAGGTCACAGATAAGGCTATGAGAGGAACACTACTAAAAGGGGAAAACAGATGATATTTCCTATCCCTAATACTCACCCACATATTTCTTATTAACAAGGCGAGAACAGGCTGGTCTTTAACCGGCATGTCAGTGGTTTGCGCCTTGAACCCATGACGTGTGTAAGGTAGATTATATATATCAAACGAGTCGAATTACAATTTCGGACGGTGAATGACATAAAATCAATAATATGATTGTAATGGTAGATGTCAGTTTTGTATACAATTATTCATGTTTATAAGCTAGGTAATCTAATATAAAAACAATGTAAACAAATAACAACATATGATTTAGGTATTCCATTACTGCGTTAAAAAAAAAAAAAAACATGGCTAAGAAAAAATCATAATGCCTCGATGCACTTCATTCTTAATTGTCATTCACAGTTATGTTTATGTAACCATCACGCCTACTCGGAGTGTGTAATAGACACGCCGGATATACTGTTTGTGTGATGACACTTGTAACGCTTCATTTCGTGTGTCGTGACTATGGAAAAACTGCATCTGGATTATATACTACGTTTTGAATCATTGAAACGGCTATTAAACACGGGATTGTGTAACAATAGAAAAACCAATTATAAAACAATAATACCAAAAATGCTGAATATTTTGTATATTGTTGTTATGGTACACTGTAAAACACCGATAAAATATAACAAGTGGCGGTAACGACATTTAAACATGCAGACGTAACTTAGGTGTCCCTCATCGACAACCAGAGGCTTCCAGTACGAGCACTTGACTGTCATCTGTCTGTACAGTACAGACACTCTGTACTGACTATGGGGGTCGGTCATCTGTCTGCACAGTACAGACACTCTGTACTAACTATCGAGGTCGGTCGTCTGTCTGTACAGTACAGACACTCTGTACTGACTATGGAGGTCGGTCGTCTGTCTGTAGAGTACAGACACTCTGTACTGACTATGGATGTCGGTTGTCTGCCCGTTCAGTACAGACACTCTGTACGGACTATGGAGGTCGGTCACATCTGTCTGTACAATACATACACTCTGTACTGACTATGAAGGTCGGTCGGTCGTCTGTCTGTACAGTACAGACACTCTGTACTGGCTATGGAGGTCGGTCGTCTGCCCGTACAGTACAGACACTCTGTACTGACTATGGAGGTCGGTCGCCTCTCTGTACGATACATACACCATGTACTGACTATGAAAGTCAGTCGTCTGTCTGTATGGTATATACACCTTGTACAGAATGCAGGGACCAGTCGTCTGTCGGCATGGTATATACACTCTGTACTGAATACAAAGGTCGGTCGTCTGTCTGTACGGTACATACACTCTGTACTGACTACATATTGTCGCTGTCTGTCTGTTTGTACTGATTACGGAAGTCGGTCGTCAGTCTGTACGGTACATAAATTGTGTAATGACTACATGGACCTGCCGTCTGTCTGTATGGTACGGTCTGTCTGTATTGGTAGTTTGTCTGTACGGTACATACACCCTGTGCTGATTACGGATGTCGGTCGTCTGTCTGTACGGTACATACACCAGGTACATATATCAAACCATACGTGATTACCATCAATACACTTAAAACAATCCTCCGGTTTCAAATTTATCATATGGATGCAACATGAACTGCAGTTCTAACCCTTTTTTAATTGTATTTATCGTTTTGTAAAGCTATATAATTTTACACAATTACACTAAACATTATTTTTTGAGGAACTGATTCATGTAGTGTTTACATGAGCTCTTAATTGTCTGATGTATCGTTAAGATATAAGCATATATTTCAACTTAACTTTTATTTTAATTTCTTCTTCATTTAGTACATTTGAAATACACTGATATAATTAATATCCTGTGCACTATTATAATTGACCACAAATGTGTCACCACATACAGCTATTGCCGATTGATTAAACATTCCATCTGATGACGTAAGCAGCTCTCTGACGTGTGTTCCGTCTACAGACAGCTGTACGACGTTGTTTGATCCCCCACCACATACGTAGATGTTACCCTCCCTGTCCACGTCTATTCCCACAGCTCCCGACACGACATCGACCTTCAACACATCCGTACGACGTTTGTCAGCCGACAGTCTGGACACCGCGACATCCCCCGGGGTGTTGTTACTGACAGTGACAAGTGTGTCACCCTTTATTTGATCATGAGTGAGGGACCAACATGTGCTGTTATATTTGTATAACAACTCGGCTGCTCCGTTCGGCGTCACACTGTATATTTCTCCTCCATCTGTACCCACGACAAACTTCCCGTCTGTATGTGTTATACCATAACATAATTTACCATTTGACATGTTGATCTCAGAAACCGGGGAGAGTTTTGAGTCCACAACCTTTACGACACGTACACCTCCGGGATATACGACAGTAGCCGCAACCGTGCTGTTGTCCACCAGACACATATCCCAGGGACTTCCTCGAACAGCCAACTCGTCCAGGTACTGCCCTTTGTCTGTAAACAACTTTAGTTTTTGGTTTCGGCTATCACTTACTACTATTTTTGCACATGGTAGGTACACAATACCATAGGAACAGCAATTAGTTTTATCGGACGGGGACTTGATGGTGAACTTTCCGACTTCTTTTACGCGTCGTTCTGACAAGGGGGTTGCTAAATCGCTATGGCTCCCAGGAATGCATCGTGGTTGTTTCCCGACAACGATCTTTCCCATCGCGTTATCACTAATATTATCATGTCCGGCAACAATTTGATGCTCGATGCTTACGGATGTGAATGACTTGCTCATCTCCGTGACAAGCGTCTCACACGACTCCACTTCTGCCTGTCCTCTCTGATACAACACTATTGTCTCAATGTTGTCGTTTACCTCTACGGCTTTAATGGATGTCTTCAAGGTATTTTTCATTCCGTTCATCAGACGTTCGCACTGCCGTAATGATTCCTCCATGTCTCTTTTCTCATTCTTGAACAATTTGATTAACTCGTCGGTGATGTCTTTCTGAAGTTTGTCCAGTCGTTTATCGACATTTTGACGCAGGTCGGAGATGCTCTGAAGTACCATTTCCTGGTTCTGTATCATGGTTTGGAGCTGTTCATCAAAGTCCTTTACTAATGCGTTCATACTCTCTTTTCCTTTCTTCAACGCCGCCTGCATGTCTTCTAGCTGCGATCCTGCTTTTACCTTCTGACAATATTCCGTCACCTTTGGCACTTGTTCACATCTCCTATGGTCTTCGATCACGCATTCGTTACAGCACAGAAGTTGGTGGTCCTCACAATACCGAACCATTCTTTCGCCGTGTTGATAACAACGAGGGGCATACGTTTCCTGATATCGTGATGTTGTATCTTACAAGTCTCACAAAAGCTGATGTTCATCGCTTTGCACCAAAATTTTGCTGGACTTCAGGGTATTTTTCATTCCGTTCATTAGACGTTCGCACTGCCGTGATGATGCTTCCATGTCTCTTTTCTCTTCTTTGAACAATGTAATCAACTCGTCGGTGATGTTCTTCTGAAGTTTGTCCAGTCGTTTATCGACCTTTTGACGAAGGTCGGAAATACTCTGCAGTGCGATTTCTTGGTTTTGTTTCATTGTTCGGAGTTGTTCATCGAAGTCCTTCACTAGTGAGTTCATACTCTCTGCTCCTTTCTTTAACGCCGCCTGCATGTCTTCTAGTTGCGATGCTGTATTTATTTTCTGAAAGTATTCCGTCACTTTTGGTACTTTTGCGCAATTCATATGGTCTTCGATCACGCATTCGTAACAGCACAGAAGTTTGTGATCCTCACAATACCGAACCATTTTCTTGTCGTGTGTGTAACATCGAGGGGCAGACTTCTCCTTATTTGTTCTTTTGCTATGGTTTTCGGTGACATTCAGTATACCACACTCATTATGTATGATATCATGAAGTTGTACCTTACAAGTGTCGCAAAAGTTCTCGTTCATCGTCTTGCACCAAAAACTGGCTGGGTTGTTCAGGTTACCTTTTGTCTGGCAGGGTTTGCAGTACAATGGTTCAGACGAACGTTCCTTAAGCTGGATAAGTTCATTAATCACAGTATTAGTTGGAAATTGTTCTGCCCATTTATCCTTGGTTTCAGCCTGATTAACCGGATGGGTCATCCTCCTACAAACTGGACAAGGGAATGATGTTGCCGACGCCATTTTTTTCGGACACCTCCGTGGTGATATAAGTCCCTAAGCAATCCTGACAGAAGGAGTGGAGGCAGGGTAAGGACTTAGGCTGTTGGAGTCGCTCCAGGCAGATTGGACATCCCAGTAAGTTTAAGTCCAGTTCCGGAGGGAGACCGCCTTCAGCCATTTTAAGAGACAGAAAGGGTCAACACATACCTGCAATAGAAAATGATTAAATACCAATTATAAAGACAGCTATAGGAGCCGATAAGTAACACCTGGAACATTATTTGCGTGATTATCTAATAAATACCGGTATAATTTAATCATCATTAAATATTGTCCAAGTAATTTAATTCCGATTTAGAACAAACTGTCTATGGACGTCATTGTGTCTAATATGATATATGGTGCGCAATGGCTAGCGTTTCTATAGTGCAAGTGATACTATTCGTTTTAGTTTTTGAAAGGTTCCAGTTAGTTTTTGATAAATAATTGTAATATTAAAGTTTTTAAATCTGTATCATATAATGATATTTTCCCGTATGGCTGAAAAACAACGCGTTTTACATTTTCTTGCAACGTATAATTCATTTAGCGGTATTGTTTACATGCCATATCGACCACCGATGATAACACTGTTTAAACGCGAACGTGAACTTGAATGTATATTTATGTCTGTGTATATGTATAAGTGATAGCATCATTTAATCAGAGACATACATATGCTATCTTATATTTAAGTCTGCGTTTTAATCACCTCAAATGTAAACAAATATTTTGAAACCTATATCCTGAAATAGCCTTAAGTGTTGATAGGACATTTTACCCTGTACAATCAACCATTGCTGATAACTGATACTGAGATAACTCTTAGTTATCCATGTCGCTAACATACAGTATACATGAATGCACATGAGAACTTTCGTTTGATACTCATAAAGTAGTATGCGTAAGTTCTAACATGCGTACGTTCTTACATGCAACGATGTTTACTAGCTACTTGTTATCAATACAAACAGTACATGCTACAAATGATTTACGAAGTTTCGGTCTGTATATGTCTAACACGGCAAAGGTGTATCTGCATTGCAGTACAGGTAAAACTGTAATATACACAGATTATCATAGACTGTTTGTAAAATACACATCACATGGTAGGGTACAGTATCACTCTTGTACATTATACTCACCCAGAGGACACTAATTTACACGGAAGACACAAACTCTCCTCCTGATAACCTTGAATCCGTCTCTCGAGACAAGGAAGTAGATTGTATAAATTTCGAATGGGAAAGGCGGAGTCAAACTTCCGGATACTGCACGCCTCGTATTACTTACGTAATATTACGCTGTTTTAATAACATTATTTGTATTATTATTCACGATGTGTGATGTGCTGGTTATTTTTAATATTAAATAAAAAGAGGTTACACAGGTGTAGTGTTGTTGTTTGTGTAATTAACATTGAGTAAGAAATATATAGTATAGTATCGAATTGCTTTAGTTATTTTCTTTAGATTAGGAAGTATGAGAAGTTTTGATTGGTCAATCGTAGTATAACCGAATATATTTTATTAGAACAGGATAATGCGCTTTTCGCCAGAGAGATATTGGTATAAATATAGGTTCCATCACAGGAAAAGCTATGAACAATCTGATTATTTCCTTAAAAGGTAGGCGTGATAACGCCGACCAAGAGGTTAGAGTTGGGTTTATTTCGGCAGGTAGAATGAAACTCTCTAAGACGGACTTAAATAATTATCGACTTTACAGATGCAATAGGTTAGCCTGGAGCTGGTGTGATTGGTGGCGACTTTGTATCCTTCGTCCGTTTATATCGGGGACAATTTAGGATAAGGCAACGTAAGCCTAGGAGTCGTCTTTCATGAAACTATAATCTAAAATTAGTACGTAAAAGAATAGATAGCTCCAGCTCTCCTTTACCATCCCACTTCGTCCCATCATTACATACTTAATCCCCCCTACTCATTATCCTGTTTTTCTTTGTTTGTTGGGTAACCGAACTTATCGGTAGTACATTGACCATTCAATACCAAGCAAGGAGGAAACGCTTTCTCTTTCTCTGGAAGTCAAATTGAGAGGAACACTACTTAACGGAGGAAATGGTGAAAAGACTAGTTAGGGTTCTATGATGTAGTGTGTAGTTAAAAGTCAAATTGAATTACAAAACATATATTAATTAATAGTGTACATCTTCGCATGGTATCGTATTACGAGGCGAAGTACAGGAAATCACAGTACAGGCTGACGCACTGGGTATCACGCAACAGGGCGACGTGCTGGGTATAACAGTACAGGGCGACGTACTGGGTAACATGGAACATGATATACTGGGATTCGCAGTACAGAGTGACGTCCTGGGTATCAGAGTACATGGCGACATACTGGGTATCAGAGTACAGGGCGACATACTGGGTATCAGAGAACAGACTGACATACTGGGTATAATAGGACAGGGTGACTTTCTATATATCACAGTACAGGGCAAGGTAATGCATATCACTGTACAGGGCGACGTTCTGGAAATTACATTACAGGGCTCCGTACTGGGTATAACGTAATAGGGGACGTACTGCGAATGTCAATGCATGGCGACGTACCGGGTATCACAATACGTGGTGACGTACTGAATATCACAGGACAGGATGACGTACTGGGTATCACAGTACAGGGCGACGCACTGGGAATATCAGTACAAGGTGACATCCAGGGCATTAAGTTGCATGAGGACGTATCCCGAATTATAGTACATACGACGTACTGGGTATAACTCAGTTCAGGGATACATACTGGTTATCACAGGACAAGGCGACATACTGGGTATCATAGTACAGGAAGACGCACTGGGAATATCAGTACAAGGTGACGTCCAGGGCATTAAGTTACATGAGGACGTATCCCGAATTATATGACAGGACGACGTACTGGGTATAACTCAGTACAGGGAGACATACTGGATATCAGTGTACAGGGCGGCGTACTTGGTATCACAGTACAAGGTGACGTTTAGGGCATTAAGTTACATGAGGACGTATCCCGAATTATAGTACAGGACGACGTAGTGGGTATAACTCGGTACAGGGAGACATACTGGATATCACAGGACAGGGCGACATACTGGGTATCAGAGTACAGGGCGGCGTACTGGGTATCACAGTACAAGTTGACGTACTGTTTATCAAAATAAAGCGGGGCGGACTGGGTATCACAGCATGTGGTGACTCACTGGGTATCACGGTACAGAGCGATGTGCTGGGTATGACAGTACAGGGCGACGTACTGAGTATCACAATAAAGGGCGACGTACTGGGTATCACAGTACATGGTGACGTACTGGTTATCACAATAAAGGGCGACGTACTTGGTATCACAGTACATGGTGACGTACTGGTTATCACAATAAAGGTCGACCTACTGGGCATCGCAGTTCAGGGCAACCTACTGGGTATCACAAGTAGGGACGACGTACTGGGTATCACAGTAGTAGTGCGAAGAACTGGGCATCACGGTACAATGTGACGGACGGGTTATTACATTATACGGCCACACACTGGGTATCACATTACAGAGCGACGAACTGGGTATCATAGTAAAGGATGACACACTGGGTATCATAGTGCAGGGCGACGAACCAGGTATCACAGTACAGAGCGACGTACTTGATGACACGGTATTGGGCGACGTACTAGGTATCACAGTACAGAGCGAAGTACTTGGTGACACGGTTTTGGTTGACGTACTGGGTATCACACTACAGGCCGACGCACCGGGTGTCACGGTATTGGGTGACGTACTGGGTATCAGGGTACTGTAAATGTACTTGGTATCAAGGTACATAGCGACACACTGGGTATTAGAGTACAGGGCGACGTTCTGTATATCATAGTTTAGGGCGACGTACTGGATATAACATTAAAAGGGCGATAGTGGTACATGGTGAGTTTACGAAGGTGTGTCATCGTAAAGGATTATTAAGTTAAGGTTTGTTGCGGTAAAATAAGACGATGTGAAGGTGTTACGCAGTAAAGGGTGGCGTTGTCTTGGTAAATCGCGATAGATGGTGACGTTGTCAAGGTGGGCCGCGATAAAGGATGACATTTTGAAGTTGTGTCGCGGTAATAGGTGATGTTGTCAAGAAATATCGCGGATAATAATAACGTGGTGTAACGCGGTAAAGGGTGATGCTGTCAATGTATGTCGCGATGACGAGTGACGTTGTCAAGGTGTGTTACGGTAAATGGTGACGTTGTAAAGGTGTATCGCGGTAAAGGGTGACATTGTGAAGGTGTGTCGCGGTAAAGGGTGACGTCGTCAACGTGTATCGCGGTAAAGGGTGACGTTGTGAAGGTGTGTCGCGGTAATGGGTGACGTCGTCAACGTGTGTCGCGGTAAAGGGTGACGTTGTAAAGGTGTACCGCGGTAAAGGGTAACATTGTGAATGTGTGTCGCGGTAAAGGGTGACGTCGTTAAGGTGTGTGGCAGTAAAAGGTGACGTTGTGAAGGTGTGTCGCGGTAAAGGGTGACGTCCTCAAGATGTGTCGCTGTAAATGGTGACGTTGTGAAGGTGTGTCGAGGTAAAAAGTGACATTGTGAAGGTGAGTCGCGGTTAAGGGTGACGTTGTAAAGATTTGTCGAGGTAAAGGGTGACGTCGTGAAGGTGTGTCGCGGTAAAGGGTGACGATGTGAAGGTGTGTCGCGGTAAAGGGTGACGTCGTCAAGGTGTGTCGCGGTAGAAGGTAACGTCGTCAAGGTGTGTCGCGGTAAAGGGTGGCATTGTGAAGGTGTGTCGCGGTAGAGGGTGACGTTGTGAAGATGTGTCGCGGTAAAGGGTGGCGTTGTGAAGGTGTGTCGCGGTAAAGGGTGACGTCGTCAAGGTGTGTCGCAGTAAAGGGTGACGTTGTGAATGTGATACGCGGTAAAGGGTGGCGTTGTGAAGGTGTGTCGCAGTGAAGGATGGCGTTGTCAATATTTGTCGCGGTAAAGGGTGGCTTTGTCAAGGTAAGTAACGGAGAAAGATGATGCTGTGAAGGTGTGTCGTGGTAAGGGTTTCGCTGTGAAGGTTTGTAGCGTTAACGGTGAAGATTTAACCGATTGCATTTTATTATTAACTTATTTCCTTCTAGTTTGGGATAATCCGACATACAAGTGATCCAAAGTATTGTAGTTTTACTTATCTAATTGAATATTCTAGAGACAAATGGCCAGTCTAGTCATGCATATGCATGTATATTGTTGGACAATGATAAGCATTAGAAGGATCTCTTTGTGTTTGCTGTGGTCAACAATGTCCAAAATACAAATAAAATCATATGGTCAGGACATCCGGCGTCTGGGTATCACGACAATTGCTATATGTACCTGATAACATTTACTCGACAAGGCTGGTCTTCTACTGGATGGTCACCGGTTTGTACTTTGAAACCATGACGTGGGTGAGGTATAATATACATATCAAAATGGAGTGTTATTTAACTTCCGGGAAAACAAAGAGGTACAAACAATTACATGATTTTTAATAAAAGATATCTATTTTGTATAAATGTCTATAGGGTGACCAGGTAGAACTTAAAAAAAAATAACAGAAAATAATGTTTTTTTGTTTTTTTTCAAAATATGGTTATTGTTTTTTAAGAAATAATTACACATATATAAGAGTTAGATAATTTGATAACGAAAACGTGCAGATAACAGCCATGTCACGAAGTGAACAAGNTTCGTCAAGGTGTGTCGCGGTAAAGGGTGATATTGTGAAGGTGTGTCGCGGTAAAGGGTGACGTCGTCAAGGTGTGTCGCGCTAGAAGGTAACTTCGTCAAGGTGTGTCGCGGTAACGGGTGATGTTGTGAAGGTGTGTCGCGGTAAAGGGTGGCGTTGTGAAGGGGTGTCGCGGTAAAGGGCGGCGTCGTCAAGGTGTGTCGCGGTAAAAGGTGACTTCGTCAAGGTGTGTCGCGGTAACGGGTGATGTTGTGAAGGTGTGTCGCGGTAAAGGGGGGCGTTGTGAAGGTGTGTCGCGGTAAAGGGTGACGGTGTGAATGTGATACGCGGTAAAGGGTGGCGTTGTGAAGGTGTGTCGCGGTGAAGGATCGCGTTGTCAATATTTGTCGCGGTAAAGGGTGGCTTTGTCAAGGTATGTAACGGAGAAAGATGATGCTGTGAAGGTGTGTCGTGGTAAGGGTTTCGCTGTGAAGGTTTGTAGCGTTAACGGTGAAGATTTAACCGATTGCATTTTATTATTAACTTATTTCCTTCTAGTTTG